TCCTTCCTTCCTTCCTTCCTTCCTTCCTTCCTTCCTTCCTTCCTTCCCTTTATTCAATGAATAGCAAATTAGTGCAGAAAATATAAATTAAAAATCTGATCTGACTTTCAATACAATTAGAGTTGACCTATTTAATAAAAGTATGGAATTGGTATCTCTTCATTATTTTACTTAAACATGGACCTGCATGTATTTGCATTTAATATCCTTTTACAACATATGGCTCCCTGGAAGTATGTCTGAAGACTCATCCCTGCAAGGCCAGTGAAACATTGTGAACAGCAAACCAGTTCACTAAATTGCTCTGAAACTTAACTGGTTCTCCCAAAATGGTGCAAATTGGCTGAATCCCACCACTGGAACAGGGATAGGGGGCATGTCTTTACTTTCTCTTCCCTGCTTCATCTTATCCTGCCTTTGTGAGCTCAGTTGATAAACAATAAAATAACATGACAAAAAATGTACCTTCTCATTTGCATGCTTCTATGAGTCTCATGGGATATAGTACTAAATATCCGGAAATTTCATCTCTTTGCTTTTAATTAAATTTTAATCAAAGATCCCGGGAATAAACATGGTTTGTCAGCTGGCAAGAGATTTAAAATTTATTGTTATAAAAGATGCAAATCACTGTTTCATTTGGAGAGAGAACACTCCTTTCTCCTGTGCTAGGATAGCCTCAGATAGACCTCTGCTTTTCTTCCTTTTCATCAAAAAGTGAAATATGCTTAATAATAAAGACAGAAACATCATTTGGCATGGTGTTTTACAATGTAGTAAAAGTGTTTAAAAGTTTATGTTCCACAAGTTCATCATTTTTATTTAGATTGAGGGGGGAATTCAGTCAGGCTTCAGGCCTTGATAGAGAATAGAAACAACATTGGTCACCCTTTTAGATGATCTGAGGAAGGAGTGGGATGGTCTATCCTTGCTTTTCTTGACCTCTCAGCAGCTTTTGATACCCTTTACCATGGAATCCTTTTGGCCTGACTTAGGGAGCTGAGGGTGGGAGGCACAGTTTTATGCTGGTTCATCTCCTTCCTCTGAAGCTGATTCCAATCAGTGTTAATAGGAGTGAGAAGTCCAGCCCACAATCTCTTTGGGTCCCACAGAATCCAATGCTTGCGCCATTCTTATTTAACACCCACAAGAAACCAATGAGTGGGATCATCCATACCTCCATGGGTTGAGGTATCATCAATATGTTGATGATACATAGTTATATGCTACGTCCTGGGTGAACTAAGTAATACTTCGGGTGTTCTTCCATGGTGTCAGGAGATTTGGGGAGTTTGGATCAGTGGTGGGATTCAATTTAATTTACTACTGGTTCTGTGGGCATGGGGGTGGCAGGGGAAGGATACTGTAAAATCTCCATTTCCACTCCACTCCTGGGGGAAGATTACTGCAAAATCCCATTCCCTCCCCACCCCGGTAACCTGCTTTCCAGCTCCATTCTCCTGTGCAGGGCAACAAAAGAAGACCAGCAGATCAGCTGGGACCCGGGAGGTAGAGAATAGATCGGGCAGGGCCAGTCAGAGGTGGCATTTGCTGGTTCTCCGAACGACTCAAAATTTCCCCTACTGGTTCTCCAGAACTGGTTAGAACCTGCTGAACACCACCACTGGTTTGAATGAAGAACAGCAGGTTTCAGCTGATTTTGGGTAAGACAGAATTGTTGTGAATGGGGGTGGGGACTCATCTGTACCTTAATTTTTATCAACTTTGATGGGGTTGCACAGTCTCAGACAGAACTGATGAGTTATCTGGAGGTCCTTCTGGACTCACAAACTCCTGCTTGAAGATCACTTGGTAATCATGCCTAGAAGGGTCTTTGGTCAAATGTGTTGTGTGTCATTATAGCCCTTCCTGATTGGGAGGCTCTTCTCTTTGTCACTCACATGCAGTTCATCTACTGCTCAAACTATTACAACTATTGCAACTGTATCCATGGCTGTTCTGAGACTGAGATGGGCAGTGTCTCAAATCTGGAAGTTTCAGCTGGTACAGATAGTAGCCACGTGAGCAATTTTGGGCACCCCTAAATTTGTATATGTAAAACCTCTGCTATGCAAGATGCATTGGATGCTGGTCTTCTTATGAGTCAACTCAAGAGGTTGATTATTACCTTACCCAGCATGCATTTCAGGTAAGCTGTGGAACTGTCTTCTCCCCATTACATTGGCACACATCCCACCCAATCAGGCAGAAAGGGCATATTGTGAAGCCTGTCAGTTAAATAATTTCAACTGGTGCAGTGCAGGAGAGAGCGTTCTCTGCCATTGCTCCTGCTGTTTGGAAGATCCTTCCTACAGAGGTGAGCTGGGTCCTCCACCCTCCTGGCCTTTCAGAAGAATGTGAAGATCTGGCTCCACTGACTTGCCCTCTTTATATTTGACAAATAAATAAAAAGATGTATTAGCACATGTAAACTAGGAAGACCATAGTAATGGGGATAAAGTCAGAAGTCCTGAGATTTTGTTTCAGTTGAGAATATCAGATAAAAGATTAAGACAATATCTATGGTCTAATAAGTAGTTTTTTGGGAGTGGAATATAACAAAAATTCAAGTCATCACAATGGAAATGTTTCTAAGACCATTTTCCCCCCATCTCCATCAAATCCACAATGTTCTGAATAGTAGAAGATCAAAATCTACTAGCCTTTACCATTTACCCAAGACATATCTGACTTATAGGTAGTCCTTGACATACAACCATTTGTTTATCAATGGTTCAAAGTTATGATGGCTTCGGAAAAAGAGCTTTATGACCTGTACTCACACTTACGACCATTGCATACTGCCATTGTTACGTGATGACCATTTGGGCACTTGGCAATTGTCTCAAATTTACCACTGGTTGCAGCATCCTATGGTCATGTGATTGTGATCTGCAACTTTTGTTGCTAGTTTTTGGTAAAAAAAAAATTCACTGAGGGAGCTGGATTTGCTTAATGACTATGTGATTCACTTAAAAAAACACAAAATTCACTGAACCACAGTGATTCACTTCACAATGACCAGAAAAATTGTAATACAATCAGGTCCATGACTCTATTTACAATCACGCTGAACTTAAAACCAAAATTTTGGTTCCAATTGGGGTCATAGGTCAAGATCTACCTGTACTTTTG